ACTTGCCTTTAAACTCTCAGGACTTCTGTGTTTATGCATCATGCAATCTTGTCTTTGCTCCTGAGGTGAAAGCTCAGTTTCAGGCACATCTGTTCTTTAGAAACAGGGAGGATCCTGGATCACCCAGGACCAACGACAACAGTGTAGGGTGCTGGTGAGCAACAGGGAGGGAGAGCAGAAGAGAGACTGCCAATTTTCAACTCCTGCACATTTTTGAACGCTCAGAGATACCTTGAATAATTTAGGAAGGAATGTATAGATGACCAAATGACTAGGAACAATAGCAGAGGTGTAAGAAATAGGAGCAACCAACAAAATGTCAAAGCTTATGGCCAACTGAGTTTCGACAAGGAAAACCAGTCAATCCATTGGGAAAAGGAAAATCTTTTTAATAAATGGTGCTGGAAAAACTGGGTATCTACCTGCAGAAAGATGAAACTGAATCTTCACCTTTCACCATTAACAAAAATCAACTCAAAATGGATCAAAGAACTGAACCTAAAACCTCAAGCTATAAAACTACTGGTGGAAAACATTGGAGAAACTCTGGGAGACATTGGGGTAGGCAAAGATTTCTGAAATAAAGCTCCCAAAACACAGGAATAATCCTTAAAATAGACAAGTGTGACTACATCAGATTAAGAAGTTTCTGCACAACAAAGGACACAGTGATTAGTGTGAACTGACAACTCTCAGAATGGGAGAATATTTATGTGAAATATGTCACAGACAAGGGACTGATAACCAGAATACACAGGGAACTCAAGCGGCTCACCCCCCCCCCAAAAAAAAAAATCTAACCCAATTAAAAGACGAGAAAATGAGCAGAACAAAAATACCTCTAAGGAAGACATATGAACAGCCAAAAACAGTTGAGGAAATGCTCACATGCTTCATTATAAGGGAAATGCAGATTAAAACCACAGTGAGATACCACCTAACCTCTGTCAGAATGGCAAAGATTAAAAATACACAAAGTGATAAGTGTTGGCGGGGATGTGGTGAAGGGAACTCGCCTACACCGTTGGTGGGAAAGTAAAGTGGTTCAGCCACCGTGGAAAACAATATGGAGGTTCCTCAAAGATCTACAAATAGAACTACCATTTGATCCGGCAATCCCACTTCTGGGTATCTACCCAAAGGACAGGAGATTACTCAGTCAGAAAAGCACTTGCACATCAATGTTTATTGTAGCATTATTCAAGATAACTAAGACGTGGAACCAACCCAAATGTCCACAATCAGATGAATGGATGGGGAAAAGTGTGGTATGTATACTCCATGGAATATTATTTAGCCCTGAAAAAAGACCCTGACATTTGATAGAAAGTAGTTGAATATAGAAAATCTATTACTGAGGGAAGCAAACCAGGCTATGAAAGGAAAACATTGTATGTATTCATTTAATTTATACTGAGTAGCCTCACTTTATGGTAGAAGTTGAAATATTGGAGAGCATAAAATTAGCGAAAATAGTTATGGATGCTGAAGACAGTGTGGAACATGGTAGGGGCAGAAGGGAAGAATATAGAGAAGGATAGCAAGAGAACAAATAAAGAGGCATGACATTTGTTTTTTTTTTATTATTATCATCATAATCTTCTTTATATTACATTGGGTTGCATATAATTTTACAGTGTATTACATTGCTTTTTCAAAAGGGAATGCCATGCATGTCAGTCAATACAGAGACATTAATCTCCCCACTTCATCATTCAATATCTTTTCTATGTTTTTTCCAATCATTATTATTATTATTCTAATTATTTTTAAAAACAGTCAATCACTATTTCTCATTTTGCTTGTAAAAAGACTTTACCCATCATGGAATACCTCTCAGACCAATCCAGTTGAGAATACTATACATGTCATCACCAACAGGTAATAAGCCCTAAAGAGGTATGACATTTGTGAGACACAGAAATGTTTATTACCTGTTGATAACATGTATAGTATTCCCAACTACACAGGTCTGAGAAGTATTTCATGTTGGGTAAAATCTCCTTGCAAGCCAAATAATATATAGTGATTAAATGTTTAAAGAAATGAGAATGTACAATAATAATAATATAAAAAATGATAAGAGGCTATTTAATGATGATATGGATAGTAACGTCTTTGTCTTGACTGATATGCATAGTAATCATGGTGGAAAAAGAAATGTAATACACTGTAAAGATATATGTGATTAAATGTAATATAAAAAATATAATGAAAAAGGATATTGAAAATGACATTAAAAAGTGGAGGGACATCCCATGTTCCTGGATTAGAAGAATTAACATAATCAAATTAGCAATTCTACCCAAATTAATCTTCATATTTAATGCAATTCCAATCAAAATACCAGAAACATTCTTGGCAGAACTTGAAAAGACAATCATAGAAGTTGTCTAGAATCATAAAAGACCTCGTATTGTCAAAGTAATCTTGTGTAGGAAGAGTGGAGTGGGTGGAATATCACTCTCTGACCCCAAATATACTATAAATCAAAACAGCATATTATTGGCACAAAAATAGACAGGTGAACCAATGTAATAGAATAGAAATCCCAGAAATAAACCCCAAATCTTACAACCAACTGATTTTTGACAAAGGATACGGGTCAACCCATTGAGAAAAGGAAAACCTTTTTAGCAAATGGTACTGGAAAAACTGAATATCTACCTGCAGAAAAATGAAACTGAATCTCCATCTTTCACCATTAACAAAAAAATCAACTCAAAATGGATCAAAGATCCGGGAACCAGCAGTTAGCGTAATGACTATGTCGCTGGACTCCCACATAGTCGACCGCGGTTCGCGTCCCAGACCCGGTGGCTTAAAACTCACGCCGGGTGCGTGTGCGTGCGTGCCCAAGATCCCGAGAGGAGAATGGAGGAGAAGGGATTGCGGTGTGACCATCCCCCCTGGGGGGTGATTTTTCGCTTTCTGTCTCTATGTCTCTCTCTGTCTGTCTGGCGAGCGCACGCGCCCTGTAGCAAAAACCTCTCCAAAAAAATGGATCAAAGATCTGAACCTAAGACCTCAAGCTATAAAACTACTGGTGGAAAACACTGAGGAAGCTTTGGGAGACATTGGGGTAGGCAAAAATTTCTTAAATACGACTCCCAAAGCATGAGCAATAATCCCTAAAATAGACAAGTGGCACTACATCAGATTAAGAAGTTTCTGTTTCTGCACAGCAAAGGACACAATAACAAGTGTGAACCGACAACCCTCAGAATGGGAAAATATTTTTGTTAAATATGCCTCAGACAAGGGACTGATAACCAGAATACACAGAGAACTCAAGTGGCTTACCCGAAAAAAAAAAAAAAAGAGTCTAACCCAATTAAAAGATGGGAAAATGAGCAGAACAAAAATCTCTCTAAGGAAGACATATAAACAGTCAAAAAGCAGATGAGGAAATGCTCACATGCCTCATCATAAGGGAGATGCAGTTAAAACCACAATGAGATACCACTTAACCTCTGTCAGAATGGCAAATATTAAAAATACACAAAGTGATAAATGTTGGCCGTGATGTGGTGAAAGGGGAACTCTCCTACACCATTGGTGGGAAAGTAAAATGGTTCGGCCACTGTGGAAAACAATGTGGAGGTTCCTCAAAGATCTACAAATAGAACTACCATTTGATCCAGCAATCCCACTTCTGGGTATCTACCCAAAGGACAGGAGAATGCTGTCAGAAAAGCACTTGCACATCAATGTTTATTGTAGCGCTATTCAAGATAACTAAGACGTGGAACCAAATGTCCACAACCAGATGAATGGATGGAAAAAGTGTGGCACATATACTCCATGGAATACTATTCAGCCATAAAAAGGAACAGGAACCTAGCATTTGATAGAAAGTGATCGAACATGGAAGATCCATTGCTGAGGGAAACAAGCCAGGCTATGAAAGAAAGATATTGTATGTTTCCATTTGATATATACTGACTATGCTCACTTACGGTAGAGAAAGAAATACTAGAGGGCATAAAAAATCAGTGAAAATAGTTATGGATGCTGAAGACAGTGTGGAGTGGGGTGGAAGAAGGAAAGAGTATAGAGAAGGATAGCAAGAGAACAAATAGAGAGGTATGACATTTGTGGGACACAGAAATGATTTATTACCAATTGATGATAACATGTATAGTATTCACAACTGGAGTGGTCTTAGAAGTATTTCCTATTGGGTAAATTTTCTTTACAAGCCAAATGATATATAGTGATTGAATGTTTAAAAAATAAATAGAATAAATAATAATAAAAATAATCTGAAAAAATGATGACAAGCTATTTGATGATGATGTGGATATAAAAATCCTAAGAGGAGAATAAATGAGAAGGAATTGCAGTGTGGCCTTCCCCCATGAGGGGGCATGATTTCTCACTTTCTGTCTCTCTGCCTCTCTATGTCTCTCCGGTAAGTGCATGCACCCTCTGGCAAAAAATAAACTCTCTCAAAAAAAATGCATACACATATTTTAAAGCACAAACATTGTACAGGTATACAAAAATATTCATTCTTTACTTCCTTTTTCTTTTCTTTCTTTTTTGGTTGCCAGAGTGCACATGCTTTTTCTTTTCTCCTTCCTTTTGGGATTTTGAGCACTCGCACATGCACATGCACATGCACATGTACCTGGCATGCTTTTCAAGCCCATAGGGCTAGGATTTAAACCACAGTTGGCCATGTGGAATCCAGCTCTCTTAACCAATAGTGCCAGCCCCTCCAATTTTTTTAAATGTATTTCTTTCTTTCATGAGTGACAGAGACTGAGACAACACCTCCAATAGGCTCTTCAAAGCACAATCCACCCTGGGAACCAGCAGTTAGCGTAATGGCTATGTCGCTGGACTCCCACGTAGTCGACCGTGGTTCGTGTCCCAGACCTGGTGGCTTAGAACTCACGCCGGGCGCGTGTGCGTGCGTGCCCAAGATCCCGAGAGGAGAATGGAGGAGAAGGGATTGCGGCGTGACCATCCCCCCTGGGGGGTGATTTCTCGCTTTCTGTCTCTATGTCTCTCTCTGTCTGTCTGGCGAGTGCACGCGCCCTACAGTGAAAATCTCTCCAAAAAAAAACACAATCCACCCAACCTTCAGCCAATCCAAGATTATGGGCACATGACACATGAATATCCAGTTTGTTCAAGGAGGTTTCCAAATAAGAATCTGGAACCTTCTCACGTGAGTCAGTCTCACAGAACATTACATTACCTCTGTGCCACCTATTGGCCCCTGTTTTTCTATTTTACTTTTTATTTTATTTATTTATTTGATAAACACAAAAATACAAAAATGTACATCAGCCCAGGCCTACACAGGTTCAGGATTATCCATATAACTGACTTCTACCTCCACAGTTTGTCTCACCGGAAGAGCCATGATGAACAAAACAATGCAAGATTAAACCAAGTACAAGAGAAAAAGGTTGCAATCAAGAGATTCAATAAAGAAGATATACAAAATTGCTGCCTGCATAACACAGTATGCTATTTTACAGCAAGCTTTTTTAATAAGTAGAGGAGCACACTCTAGAATAACAATAAAAAATATAAGATAGTAGATAAATAAAGCAGTAACATAGTCGCTTATTATCTTCACCAAGTGTAATGTACTGCACATAGCTGTAAATACTATACTTTTATACGCCTGGTAGCTGAGTAGGTTTATTTACACTAGCGTCACTACAGACGCATGAGTAACATGTTGCACTCCATTTGTTGATGGCTACATCACCAGGTGATAGGCATTTTTCAGTGCCATCATCAGCTTACGGGACCACCAGCACACCCACCATCCATCATTGACTGAAACATCATTATGGGACACACGGATGTGTTGATGTGTTCTTTCGTGAATGACCCAACCTCTCTTCTTGTCCAATCCGTAAGTTGGAGCTATTGTATAACCGGCTTGCACTTGTCATACTGTTAGAAATTACTTTCAAAACAAAATTCCCACACCCCCTGCAGATGAGGAACTGTTGTGTAGAGATTCATTTGCACCATCCATTGTGCTGGTTCTGCAGATGCTGGCATGTGAGAGATCAGGACAGTGACAGCAACTAGGCATAAATGTAGAAACTCTCTAGCTGTTTGCGGCTCAGTCCAGGAGGGTTCTGGGTCTTGGACTGTCTCTTTCCAACCTGCAGAAGGAAAGCAGAAACTTAAGCATCTCACACTTAAAACCCTAAAAAAAACACCACACCAAAACCCAAAAAAAAAAAAAAAAAAAAAAAAAAAAAAAAGCCAGCACATAGTGTGGTGGTTAAGGTGCTAGATGCCCACACGGTTGACCATGGTTCAAATTCCAGACCTGGTGCCTTGAAAATTACTCTAGGTACATGTACATGCATAACCAAAATACCAAGAAGAGAATAGAGGAGAAGAGATTGTGGTGTGGCCATTCCCCTGGGGTATGATTTCTCATTTATCCTCTCTGTAACTCTCTGTCTCTCTCTGGCAAGTGCATGCTCCCTATGGCAAGACCAAAAAAAAAAAAAAACCCAAAAAAACAAAAAAAAAAAAACCCAAAAACAACCCAAAAAAACAAAAAAAAAAAAACCCAAAAACCAACCAAACAAACAAGAAAACGAAAAACAAAAACTCAGAATAATCCTGTGGGATGTAGCTTGTTATCCCCTTTCAGAGATTAAGAAAATGAAGCTCAGAGTGCTAAAATGAATTACTCAGGGTCAACAACTTGCACAAAGTCACAAAGTAAAGGAGGAACTTGAATCTAGTGCATCTAAATTCCAGTGCTCTTCCAACCACACCATGCTTCTGAGTGATACCCACACTGCCTTGGTCCACGCAGTGTCTTTATGTCTGAATTGTCTTTAGCTGAAGTGCCAGGAATCCTAGCAGTCACCCACCCAGCCTCTCCCTTGTGACCAATGACAGCTTCATTATTGGAACACTGGCGGAGACTCCAGTATACCTGAGGGTAATGGGTAGGGTGTTCTTCCTTCCATTAAGAAGGAAGTATAATTATATTGACATTCTGTAAGGAATTAAGTAAGATGATTCATGTGAACACACTGACAAACTGTACTTACTAGGTCCCTAAGAAATGTTAAAGCCCTCCTCTCCACTCCCCAAATGGCCTGATGAGAGTCAATTCAGCCACTAGCCTCAGGGGTCACTTTAGAGCAGTGCCCATTCCCCAATCAGCTGCAGATAATCCAAGTCCTGGTATGATTCCCAAGGACTGGCTATCCTTAGAAAATCATTTAGATTCACTTTTGCTCTTTTTTCTGCCCCCACCCACAAACACACACCCTTGGAAAGGAAAGATGTCCAGTTTGTGGCCCGCAGCCTGGGAACTAGTCTATGGACAGCCTTAATTTAGAGTCCAAGCTCCTCAATAAGAGTCACACCCACACCCTCAGACCTTCCCTGTCCTTGGATCTCAGTGCCTTCATCTTTAAAATGAAAATTGGAATTAGAAGATCCTCAAGACCCTAAGCCAGCCTGGGACCTGGTGGTTACAGCTACTGGACCCCACATAGCCAGCCACGCAGTTTGAGTCCGGGACTCAGCAACTTGAGAAAACAAGCTGGGTGTGTGCACATGTGTACCTAGAATCGCAAAAGGAGGGGGAAATGAAGAGATTGCAGCATGACTGTGCTCCATAGGGAATGCTTTTACTCTCTCTCTTTCTCTCCAGCAAGCAGATATGCTCTCTGCAAAGTTAACAAGATTTCCCAAATCCCTACTGTGCTGGGATTGTATAGAAGGCCTTTTCATAAGTATACTCTTTCTTGGTCAGATTTAAGGCTGTGCTATGAACACCAAACATATCCAGAAGACATTCCTGATCTTACCTCTTCATAGATGGTCTTATTGGTGGAAGAACTGTGGTTCCTCTTCTTGGATCCAGACTAGAAATTCGCAGAAGAATGTTTAGCTTTGAGATAAGAGACACCCCACTCTAACTGAGACACCCCACTTCTAATTGATGTGAGAGGTCCCAAAGGAGACTCAGGGCCTGAAAGTCCCTGAAGTATCTCCATCCAGTTGTGAATAGTCTCCTACTCCAGGAGTAAACAAAGGTGACGATGGTCTCCAGGGAAGCACAAGGCATAGTTGCCTATGATATGATAGCTCAGAATCAAAGTCAGAGTTTAGAATCCCAAATGCACATAGTCCTTGCTGTTATTTGGATGTCCTCCCAGAATCCATGTGATAGAACTTGGTGCTATTGTGGAAGTATCAAAAGGTTGGACCATTGGGAATTGAGTAAGTGATTAGAGGAGGTCCTCATGATTGACTCCTGGGCAGGGAGATGATGAAACCTCAGAGTTTAGAATCCCAAATGCACATAGTCCTTGCTGTTCTTTGGATGTCCTCCCAGAATCCATGTGTTAGACCTTAGTTCTATTGCGGAGGTATCAAAAGGTTGGACCATTAGGAACTGAGTAAGTGATTAGAGCGAGGTCCTCATGATTGACTCCTGGGCAGGAAGAAGATGAAACCAGGAGAGACACATGGAGCATGGACTATACCCTCCTGCCCAAGATGCCCACCAAATGTGGCCCCTCACTGTGGACCTCCACACTGAGAGCTGAATAAACATCTAGTCTCTTAAATCACCCAGACTTAGGCTTTTTCTATTATGAGCAATGGAACCGAATAGAATCCACACATATACACACTCCTAGTGCACACACATATACATACACAACAAATGAACCCTAACCCTAACCCTAGCCACCTTTCATTTGTTCTAAAATCCCTTCCTAAGGAGCCTTGGAAGAGCCACACTGATGTGCCATCAACCTCACTAAATAGGTCACCTGGCCTCAGCATTGTGGCTTACTGACTCTGGCCTGACTTCACAGGATGATTAGTAAACTCTCATATCTATGTTAAGATTAAGGTTAAATCTTCCTTTCTGCTGACTCCAAATCTTAAACAAAGTCTTGCTCTTTTAGCCAATAACAAATTAAAGAATCTCTGAATTACCTCTGTCCCATAAGCCCCCACTTCAAGATATCTCATCTACTCAGACCAAATCAATGGAAAATCTCCAAGTATTAATTTATAGCTTTGATTATAACTTCTGCTTTCCCAAAGTGCGTGAGATCTGCTGTGACCTGGCCTCACCTCATGGGAAATAATGTCTCAAGGCTTCTTCTCCTGGTCCTGGTTATGGTCACCCAGATTGGCTTAAAATAAACCCTTTTGGGGGGAGCCAGCAGGTGGCATGGTGTTTAGGGCGCTGGACTCCCACATAGCTCGCCACAGTTTGAGCCCCAGACCTGGTCTCTCTCTTTCTCTCTCTCTCCTGAGAGCATGTGTCCTATAGCAAATTAAAATAACAATAATAATTAATAAAATCAAATAAATAATTCTTCTAAAAATGAAATAAATAAACCTGTTTTGATACTTTACAGAGTTTGGTTTTTCCATCAACACACTATCCCTCAGATAATCCTAATATAAGGATGGCCCCCAAACCATGTGTCTCTTCAATGTATAGCTCATGCACACCCCTTACTAAAGTAGAAATTCTGGCACATACATGAGCACCAATCCTACCATATCCTGGACACAGCAGTTTTGTGAATCACAGACGTTATGAAGCACTTTGATGAGCCAGTCAGTGGCATGTGGATCCCACATGGCCAACTGCATACTTCAAGCCACAGACCCAGCAGCTTGAAAAATATACCAGGAGAATGGAGGAGGAAGGATTGTGGCATGGCCTGCACCCCCGGAGTGGGGGAGGGTGGATTCTCACTTTCCTTCTTTCTCTCTCTCAATTTCTCTTAGGCAAACCAACACTCCTTTAAACCTATAGTAAATAAAAATAAAGCACTTTGAGTAGTACATAGAGTTTCCATAACATAATACCAAAGCACGTGAGCATAGTGCCTGTGAACATCTATGTTGTAGGACAGCATTAAAAAGAAACATCTCTCATGGTGAGATCCAAATTGGTTGGATGATTTATCAGAAGAAGGATGAATAAAAAGTCTGAAAAATCTGTCCTACACCCCTTCCCCCAAACATGCATTCCCTGACCTGTAGCATGCACTTAACACTTCCATGTTTTTTTGTCTTCCCAACTTCCTGTAGTACCATGTTGAGGCCTGTGGCTTCTTATTCTTGCCTTGGGAACACCACTCTTCCCATCCCCTTAAACCAAGGTAAAAACGATGACCATGGGCATGCAGGACACACAACCCTATAGCTCCAGGTTGCCTAAGAGCTATAAGCTCAGCTGGAAGCAAGATCTGAGTGGACTACGACAGGTTTTCTCAGTCCGGGGTCTCCCCCAACAAGGGGACTGGCTGGAACTTTGGTTTCTCAGAGTCAGTATCATGTCTCTCTAGCTCCAGCCTACATCAGGCAATATGCTCCTGCACATTGGAAACCTCTCCTGTTTCACCATGGCCTCAGTGGGCCTAATGAAGATACTGTGTTCCCTCTGACACAGCACCTCTTTTGCTTTTGACTGTAGTTCACCTCCACAGATACTATTAGAAACTCGTTTTTTTTTCCTCCAGACAGGACCAAAAAGGTGTTTTTTGTTAGCCCATTGAAATCTTAATACAATCACTTAACAGAAATTAATCAGACTCACATAGGAAGGACAATTGGCATACACCCTTATGGCATACACACATGGGCGCACATATGCAAAATACAAACCTGTGTCAATTGCACCCCTGAAGGAAGAGACTCACCTTCCGGGAAGGCTGTATTACTGAATACAATGTACGGTCAGTTTCTTGTGATGAAGAAGCAGAAGGCTAAGAGAAGAGAAATAAAACCATTATAGAAACATAGGTCCAGCACAACCCCAGGAGGTCATAACTTCCATCTCTCTGGCTCAGCCCTTCTCAGATGGAAGTGTTCAGTGTTGGTAAGAAGAACTATGGACTGGTCAGGAAATCAAACACAAGAGCTAGTTCCACTGGGTAATTGACAATAGCTACTACTGGAGCATCAGAAAAGTCATGATGCATTTTTTGCATAGAAAAATGGAAAAATACACAAGACTTTTCTGACAACCCAATACTTATTGAGCACTTATTTTGTAAGTCTTCCCCTAACCAACCAACACTTACCATCCTCCTTTAAGATAGAACATGCAGTTAAAAAAGTAAATAGCCTTTTACCCTTTTACCCAAAAATGTAAAAAGTCAGACTGTACACGGTAGAAGTGGGATTTAAACCCAAGACTCTCCAGGGCTCTTTCCTCAACACCTCAATGTCTCCCTTGGGTTACACACCTTCCTTCCCTAGAACCACGATCCTAGTCTAAGGCCAGTAACCATTTCCTTTTTTAAAAAAAATTATTACTTTTTAGACAGAGTCTCCCTATGTTGCCCAGGTCAGCCTTGAGTTTGTGATCCTCCTGCTCAGCTTCCTCAAGTCACTGGGATTACAGGAGCACACTAGCATGCATGGTCTTTAGGTTGGACCAGGAATCAAACCCAGGCCTCCCATGTGGTTCCAGCCTGTGGAGCACAGCCTCCGAGCAGTACCGATTGCAGTGGCTAGGTACCATTCTCCTTTAAGACACTCAGAGGAGCAATCTCATTCTCACACGACACCCTAGCCTAAGAGTTCTTCCTGAATGTTACTCAATTTCTTCTCCTTGGAGCTCACTGTATTAAAGCCAGAGAACTGGCAGGTAGCAGTCCCCCTTAGATGGCTCACTGGGGCTCTGGCTCACTGCCAGAGAATCACATGATCTCAAGGGGAGCAATGGGAGGTGGTGCTGGACTCAGAACTCCAGAGTGATCAGATGAGTGCCTCCCACCCTCCCTTCCGTCATTCTCCACTTTTCTCTCACTTCTTCCTCTCCCCTCCATTGTCTTACACCTCCCTTTCATCTTCAGCCTTTTCTTGAACCTTCTTCAAAGCCTATTCCCATCCCCTAAGGATTTTCCTTGTCCTGTAGTTTGGCCACCAAGTTGCAGACATTACTGCTTCAATTAATTCTTGTAATCATTTTTATCAGAAACTGTTTATCACTGGATACCAGTAGGCAGTATTTCTCTTGGGAGAGATGTCCTAGCCTGTCCTAATGTCATCCTAGCTATCAATGTTAGGGGATGCACCTCTGGTTCTGGGTGAATTTCTAGAGTCCCCAAATGTTAGTGGTAGGGTAGAGGGTGGTGGAAGGAAGAGTCACCTGGCTCAGCTTCACCGTTCCCTAGCTATGAGGCTGGAACTCATTCATTAACCTGAGTCTCAGTTTCCTCATCTGTGATATGGAGTTTAGGCCACAACTAAGATATTAGAACAACTTCATGAGGCTGCTCTGTGAGACTCGTTAAGAAAATAGGTATTACTTTTAAGTCATAGTAAGATGGAAGGGACCAATACAGATTTACTTTTCCCTGGAAACAGACATAATAAGGAATGAAAATAAAAAGGATAAAGGGATCAGTTAGTGGCACAGCAGTGGCATGATGCTCTGCAATGCTGGGCCCACATGGAAAGGTCCTGGGTTCACATCCCAGGGTCTCTCTGTATACCCCAGGTGAGCGCGTGCACGTGCCTGTGATCCTGGCTGTCTGAGGCTGAGAGTGGATCATGGCAGGAAGACCTTGTTGGGCCTCTCTTTTTTTTCCTCTCCTCTTTCTGAAGAAATAAGTTAACTTTAAAAGAATCAATTAATTTAAAGAAAATTTTGTTTTTCAAGTACAAGGGCTCCTGGTATCAGTAACAACAAGGAGCAGAAACGAAAGTTGAGTCCTCTAGCAAGGTTCCTCCTCCTATGGACTCTACCTGGGGCAGACCTTCTGCCAGTTCTGCTGAGCATGGAGGAGGAAGAAATCCCTACATCTGGCTTTCCAGCTCAAATAAAGAGGTCCAAAGCCATGCTGATGTTCTCAAACTTAAAGCAGCTGTGGCCAGACTGTCTTCTGGAGCTCAGGAGCACTAAGATCTTATCCTGCTATTCAGGAGTGTGAACTGGGGGCCAGGGTGGGGCATCTGGGAAACCTATAGACAGATATAAATGGATTATAGAAGCCAGAGTGGTACCTGGGGCTGGATCATGGAGTAGATGGTATTCTTGTCTCCAGGGGAATCCTGCTCCTGCTCCTGCTCCGGCTCTGGTTCCAGCCTTGACTCCTGAACGAGGAACAGTAAAGGGGCAATGCCGTGATGTGCACGGACAGCTGGATCTGCCCACATTTGGGTGTATGGGGAAAGACAGCACAGAGAAGGGCTCCTGGGAGCGAGGGAGGGAGGTGCAGGAGTGGGGAGAGCCTTGTCAGTCCTATCACCTATCCCGGGATAGGGAGAGAAGTGGAGCAGAGCCATATGCAGTGGTGAGTCAGTGTGGGGAGTGAGAAGCTACCTAGACCTGCAGGGATTCAAACCATTCTGCCCAAGGGAGCTCCTGCTACTTCCTTCACTTTGGGACCTTGGAAACCCTGCCTTGCCTTTGCTGGTGTCCATATTAAGTTTGCTGCATAACCACTGATACTGTGCAGAGCTCTGGGTAGACTCAATCTGAGCCTTACCTCAGGGCGCTGAATTCCAGAAGGTGTAAGCGTTTTAAAGACTGGGCACATGTAAGCCCTTGTCCTAGGTTCAGCCTTGGTAGCCAGCTTGCCCTTGGCCTCAAGTGGGCCTTTGGGAAGACGTGGTGCCCGGTGGAACCCTGGACCCACGGCCAAGGGTGAAGAGTACATGGTTCTTCCTGCTTTCTTCTCTCCTTCCAGTCCATAGGAGCCTGGGGACAGAGGGGTTCTTGCTGCTCGCCCCTGAGTACACATTGCCAGTTTGGGTCCCAGTCAGAACCAGTGGAGGCCAGAGAGTTCACCAACTAAGGTAGAAGCTGACTTCCCCAAGCAAGGAGAAGCCAGGAGGAGCTCTGTTGTCTTTCATCCTGTCTCAGGAGGGCTGAAGATCACTCTGGGAGGACAATTGCCCAGTTCTCAGCTAGGGAGAGAGAACTATCAGCCATGCTGGAAGCTGCAGAGCCATAGGTGTTTGTCAAGAAACAGCAGTTTGGGGGCCAATAGGTAGCATAGTGCTTAAGGCACTGGACTCCCTCATGGACAATCACAGTTCAAGCCCCAGACACAGAGGCTTAAAAAATCTGCCAGGAATATATGTGTACAAGTCCAAAATCCTAAGAGGAGAACGGAGCAGGGATTGTGGCAAGACCATCACCTGGCAGGGGAGGGTGATTTCTCGTTTTCTCTCTCTCTGTCTCTCTTTGGCACACTCTGTGGCAAAGACAAAGAAGAAGAAGGGAGAGAAGAAGAAGACAAAGACGAAGACAAAGATGAAGAAGAAGAAGAGAAGAGAAAGATGAAGAAGAAGAAGAAGAAACAAGAATTTATTGCTTTTCTGTCCTGTCCAGACCCCTGGGAAGTGTCTCCAGAAAGGCTGAAGCTGGGTCCTAAAGTGAGACCACTTTGAAACTTCAGATTTCGACCTCTGAAGACAGAGGCCAGGGATGGCTGAGGCCAGGCTTGGTGGAGCTCTGAGATAGAAGCAGGGTGACATTCAGGTCTAACGCTCCGAGAGCGTTCCCTTGTTCTCAGTCATTATTTTCCCCTCATTTTACCTAATCTAAATTCATCTCCAGTTTGGGGAGGAAAGGTTATTTCCAGTGAGCGCTTGGGCACGAGGGACTGCAGGTAGATTCAGGGCTCTCAGGACCATGCCAGAGTCTGGCAGCAGTAGGAGAAACAAAGTCTCCTCCTATTTTCACAACCCATCATCCCACTGGGGTAGGAAAGCAGGCCAGGGGAGCTGACCTCATTCTCTCTGAGCCCAGACCCACGGAAGCTACTGGTGAGTTCTGAGAGGCCCCAGAAGGCCTCACACAAGTGGCCAGGCCGGAAGAGCCCACCACATGTGCTTCCTGCCTGGGCTGCACCTCCCTCCGCCCACTAAGTGCCAGGAATGGCGGTGGAAGAGGGCACTTCCTCCCCACCTTTGCCACCCCCTTCCAGAGCAGTCCGGTGGGTGCTTCCTGACCCATGGGGGGCCTTGCCCCTGGGCCTGCTGTCACATCCTGCCTGCCCAGGGCACAGCAGCCCCTCTGCAGGTTCCTACTCTTGTACCTCCCTGAACCTCAGGCAGAGTGGGCTGCTGCCTGCAGACAGCTGTTAGAGAAGTTCCAGAGGAGGTCATTCTTCTTTAATATTTGCTAATGTGATCACAAAGACTCCACAAGGATAGCTCCCTAGAAAATAGTTAGAAAGGCAAACATAAAACTATCCGTCCTAGGCATAACCCACCACTTCCCTCTCTGGGGATCGAAATGAGCACTAATGAATATGGGCTGTGACACCCTAGATCAGCCCATGCTGTCAGTGGAGAAAAGCGGAAGTTCCTATGGCTGTTTTTGGTAAGAAAGCCATGTGACCTGGTCCGATGGTACAGGAAACAAAAAAAAAGTCTGTTAGGAGTTGGAGGCAGGGAGGTTGGGGAGGATCAGGGAAAGTTTGGAGAAAGAATAGGAGACAGAAATAGTTATATGAGTGGCTCTGTTAAAACAGAGGATGTGGAATAGCAGGTGATGTGGTGGTTAAGACGTTGGACTCCCACATAGCCAGCCATGGTTCAAGTCCCAGACTTGTGGGTTTGCTTTCTTGCTTTTTTTTCCTCTCTTTCTGGTAAGCACACGTGCCCTATAGCAAATTTAAAATAATAATAATAAATAAAATAAAATCAATAAATCAATAACAACAGAGACCATTGAGAGGAGTGCAATGACCAGAGCAGCGATTTTGACTGTCCATATGCGTTATAAGTGCATGCCCTCCTGGCCACACCTTCACTCTGGTGCTTCCTCCAGAGCTGAAACCTCAGCTTGACTCAGGCCTCTCCTCCCCAAAAGACTGTCGCAGACCACGAAGCAGCTACAAAACTGTGATGCTGCGGCCGGTCACACTCCTCTACCTATGTAACAATGAAGGCACACAGAAGAGCAAGACCGGCCTTGCCAGGGAGACAAGCATTTGTGGCCAACACAGCAAACATGAGAGGCTGCACCTCTGCTGACATCAGTTGGCCCAGCCCAGACTGGGCCAGGAGGCAGAGGCATGAGGGTGCAAATGAGGCGGCAGCACCCTGCCCTGTGCTGTGGTTTCTGTTGCTCTCCATCCTTCTCAGCAGGTACAGTTCTGCACCAAGCTGCCCCTTCTGTCTCCCTTTTATCTTGTCTGTGCCCTTTGACTTCCCCTTTGCCTCCATCCCCTGTGCTAGGAGGCTGATGGAGAAGAGACAGATGGGAGGGCTGATGAGCATTCTGAGAAGACAACTGTCTGGCTCTCTGTCTCCCCCTGCTCTGAGTGTCCATTCTCAAAAGAGCATCTTGCAAACCAGTGGGAGAGACCCCAGCCCCTAGGGTGCCATACTTGATTTCTCCCAGTTCGCAGGTCCTTGATGTCTTCATAAACTGTCAGAATTTCCTTGGAGCTAGGCTCTGCAGAAGGAAGAAAGCGAAGAACAGAGCTTCAGAGATCCCCAGAGAGCCCCCTGGATGGGCACCTGCTTCCAACATTCTCACCTCCACCCTGGAGGGCCGAGACCTGTGAAAGGTTCTAGAAAGGAGGCAGGTGAGCATTCTCCCCAGGATACCCCAAGAACACAGAGCAACCATTACCCTTGACATAGATCCTCTGTCAGGCTGGCAGCCCCCACCACACCAGCCACCTGCAGATGACTGCACACAGGACATCAGACTGTGACACCTGGCAGCCACTGCAGAAGGTGTGGGGGGCCGCCGGG